AGTCGCGTCCCATCCACGGTCGGCAAGGCAGGCGGGGAGATGGAGTAAGGAGGAGCAGGGGTGGGGGGATGACAGCAGCTGATAGACAGGTCCAATCTCAGAAGCAAGTTGCTGGAAGACTGGTCAGGTATGCACATGGTGCTCTATAATGTATTGCTGGGATTTGTATTTCTCTATAGCTGATGGTACATTGTACTGTACATTATACATAGGAATACAAATACCAGCAATGCATTATACACTGTATGTATAATGTATTGCTGGGATTTGTTGTACTCCTCTATAGCTGGTGATATTCTGCATTGCGCTGTATAGAGGACTACAGTTCCCAGCAATAATACATTATACAGCGCAATGCGGAATACCACCAGCTATAGAGGACTACAAAACCCAGCAATAGTACATTATACAGCGCAATGCAGAATGCCGCCAGCTATTGTGTACTATTGCTGGGATTTGTTGTATTCCTCTATAGCTGGCGGTGTTCTGCATTGCGCTGTATAATGTGCTTTTGCTGGGTTTTGTAGTCCTCTATAGCCGGTGCCATTCTGCATTCATTGCTGTATAATTTTACACTTTCCATTTCACTATATTGCACACCACACTATCTTTTTTTTCTTTTTTACTTCCACTGCTCCAAGCTTGCTCCTGTGATGGACTACAACCTCAATACAAACTAGTAGTCCTATCACTAGAGGCATTTTTTAAACTTTATTTTATTGTTTATCCGATTAACCGATTAATCGAACTTAATAATCGGCTAACTAATCGATTTTGAAAATAATCGTTAGCTGCAGCTCTACTTCAACCACATGGAGACCTGGAAGAGTACCCTCAAAACTGTGCATCTCTCGAGTTTCCTGGATGGATTGACAGCTACGCACTTATCAAGTAGTATAGGTTAGATACAAATGTATAACCCAAACTTTCTATGCAGAGTGTAAGAATAGTTTGTTTTTTTTGCTTTGTGTCATCTCAGGGATACTTAACCTCCTTTTTGTTTTGTCCCAAGGGCACAACAGGAAGTGGGAGGAAATCTCTCAGAAATGAAGGGAAATTCCCTCTTAAAGGAGAATTATGAAGCCAGTGATTTTCACTCAGCCTCATAATCTGAGCCGACCTGTGACAATGGAACTGTCACAGGTCGGCTCAGTAGATTGGGAAGTGAGGGAACACATACCGTCGCTCGCTCACTTCTCGATCTATTCGTGCAGAGAGCCGTGACTGTCACTCACGGCTCCCTGCAGGGATACCCCCCTGTCCGATCCACCAGCGCTGACTGGCGGGAACGGACGGGGGAGGGGCGGGTACAGCTGGCTTTGCCTCTAGATAGGCAGAGCCAGCTGTCACTCACGCAGCTGGGTGGATCCAGACAGCATTGTCGGGATCCGTTCCGGCTGCGGCGTCTCAGTATACCGCAAGCTGTAGCTTGCGGTACACTGAGCTTTGGGTGATGGGAGGACGCTAGTTTGTGTCCTCCCGTTACCCTTAGGAGAACTATGGGGAAAAGCACTGACCCCATAGTTCTCCTTTAAGTTGTTGGCATACCAGGAGGATTTCCTGTTATGCTGATAACTTGCTATTAACAGTTGCTGTGTCCTGTTGGGGACAAGAATGGTCACCAAGACAAAAAGAGAGAGTGAATCCCTAACAAGATGCAGCAATTCAGTCTGTAGAAAGGTTCTAACCTCTTCCTACTCTATCCATAAACGAAAAAATTGTTTTGGCTGCACATATACTGTAAAATGACAGCACAATGTTTTCAGTGACAAATGCTTTTTCCTTACAAAACAGCAATGTCAGTTTCTTTTTTTTTTTTTTCTTGCAGGAGGATCGCGCCAGGAATTATTTGGAAAATCCTGACACAGTCATTCGCCCTGGCTTGACAGGGTCTTATACCAAGCAATCAAGTCAAGTGTCGTCCTGTGACGCAAAGCCTCAGGTAAAAATGTTATTAGATTTGGGCCTCATTCACACAGGCACATGGATCTGTACATCTATTAAGGAGGCCGTGCTTTGCATCTGAGGAGGCGCTGATGTTCCATGCAGTCGCCTGTTCAATCAATGTCTAGCTGCAATGATATTTACACATATCCCCGTGAGGGCTGCAACTGCAAATAATTATTTTCATAATCGATTAGTTGGCCGATTTAAATTCTTTTTTTTTCTTGGGACATCCCGATACTATTTTTTCAAGACCAAGTACTTTCCCTCAGGTACTTGCCAACCCTGCCACCCCAGCCCAAGTAATTTTGGAAAATGGAATTACCCGCTCAAATCTGGCCCCGTCTCTCACCCTTCCCCCTCTGGGAACATTGTTGGTTTTGCTGGATATGTCAAGTTTGACAGCAGTATATTTCATGCAGCAAACATGCACTTGTTTCTTCTTTTAACGTTGGTGGCAACACAGACAAAGGTCAAAAGCATTAATGGAATTTCAAACAAAGTGCACTTAACTTTTTTTTAATCGCAGCCTAAATACCCCACATTTCCCATAAGCATACAGTACTTGCCTCTATATCGTGACCTACCACAATTTTTACATTCTTCCTTAATAATTAGATCCCCTTAAACTTTTATGGGACCAACTCCTAAAGCCAGAGATGCTCAAGTGTGGGTCCCATAGCTGTATAGGAATCTACTGCACATGAGTGAATACTTTGCTAATGCTACAGTAAACGATTTCAGTTTTGGGTCAGTGCTGATGGGTTGTATTTTTAATTATTTCCAATCCCTTTTTAGGTCCAGTGCAAGGAAAGTCCGCCACTAAAAATAGAAGACAGTCCTGAGGTATGTTTCCTCATAGTTTTGTATACTACATATTGCATATAGCTGACCTCATTAGTTTCTATAAATTGCTCCTTTTTATTTCTAGAAAAAAGAAAATGCAATAGCTAATGCCACCGTATGTCCGCCTGTAAAGGAGAATGTAAGTATTTATTTGCTGTTCTGTTTGTGTATATGTGCCTAGTCTCTTTTTAACATTTTAGTATAATCAGTGTTTTGTGCAGATTGTATGTTGTACAGCATGGGAAGGGTTCCAGGTCTTAGCTATTTCCTCGCTGTTCCATCATACCATGGGTTTATGATGGAGATAGAAGGCCCATCCAGTTGTGAGGAACATGCAGAAAACCCGTAGATAGATGGTCTGTCCCGGAGAGACTTACAAGATGCTTTACTTTTAATGCACAATTTCTGCATCCTTACCTTTTTGGCGCTCTTTTTTTTTAACCACTTCAGGACCGCCAACCATAAAAAAAACATACTGTCCTGAAGCGGTTATACCAAGAACACAGCTGCTACTACAGCCCTGTTCTTGGTATCATTTCCCATAACGTCTTCCAGGACAGCATCACGAGATGGAATCTCCTCCCCCACACACAGGAAACACGTCACTTAACCTGTTTAAAAGACCCTCCTCTCCTCCACTCCCTCAGTCTTTTGTGTTTCCTCAGTCAAGCTGGGGAGCGCGTCACAGAACGCTGAGAGAGGGCTTCCATGTGGTGATGCTGCCCGGGAAGTCTTCCTTGTTGGCCTGCCTGTGTAAGGCAGAGGGGTAGGTTTGCCTACCTTGTGGAGCCCCAGGGATTCTCCTAGCGCTACGGCAGGGCTCCCCTGACTGATCGGGGGGAGATCACCAGGCTTCTAGCTGCTGATCTCTCCTCAGATCACTGGACCTGGAAGTGATGTGTATTACATCACTTCCGATGTCGCTGTGGACATTCTCTGGCTCTTAGAGCCAGGAGAAGAAGCTGGGGAAGCAGATCTCTGCTTCATCAGCTTCTAAATTTTTTTTTAAAGTCCCACCATGCAAAACGCAAACACGAGTCGGGTGCGCCTATGTGCAGAAAATTACCTTGTTACATATCGTCGTGAATGTTGGAGTGAGAGCAATCATTCTAGGGCCATAAATCACTAAATCACTGGTAACACTAAAGCTTTTAAGGCATCGCCTATGGGAAGTTTTGAGTATTGTAGTTTTTTTGCCGCTTTAGATGCACGCAATTTTAAGGCTTGACATGTTTGGTATCTATTTACCCGGCGTGACCCCATCTTTTATATTATACCAAAATGTGTATTATATTCTGTTTCTGTGCAATGAATTTCAATATAGTGTATTTTATCCTAAAAATGTTGGTTTGATAAACATTTGCACAAAAACGGTGCGACACAAAAAATTGTAACTAGCATTTTTTAATTCTACAGGGCCTCTGCTTTCCGAAAATATATCATTTTTTTTGACGTCTTATGTTATGGAATGACAATAGAAGCATTTTTCTCTGAAACAGAGAGGGTGCGTAGTGTTCAGATTACTGCAATGTGTGGGCTCACTTAATAAAAGTAAGGCAGGAGGAGGCATGACCGCTCTCAATGTGACAAGGACATTTTTATTTGCATATAACAAGCGCTTAACATTATGGGGCATTCTGGAAGCTGTGTGAAGGTATAGGTGGGCATCTCTAGGTTCCTGTAGTTTATGTAGCCAGGTTATTTAACACACGTTCACTTTAGTGCTGCAGGAACAGCCCTTAGTAAAGAGACAGACGGGATTGTATTGATACAGAAAGTATGGTGTATAATAACAGAAGAGTTTCCCATTATGTGCGGTATGCTAATAATGGGGAATTTGTTTGTGAATGAAGACATACTGTTGTATTGTATGTGAAATGCCCCGGGCTCTATTGTCTCCTCTTTGTGTAGACGAATGCAGCAGTGAAGACATGGCAGAATGGGCCCTACATCTTGATTGTCAATGTGAGCTTCTCACCACCGCCAACTCAGGATCCTGCCTCCAGTGTGAAGAGTACACAGCCTGAAAGTTCAACCGTGGCTGCAAGCACTAATGAGTTTCCTTTAGTCTGTAAGGCTTTCCGTTTCTTCATTAACTGGAGATTTCTGAACACTTAGTTGATTGTTTGCTGAAAGGTATTTTAATTATAGCTCTGACAGATGCAAGCAGTGTTGGGTCCCATTTACACGTGTTTAAGGCTTTGGCTGGGGGTTCCTGCGGCAAAGAACCTATGGATTCTTGGGACATGAATCCCAGCTGTGTCTATACAGATGCGACCGCTGAGGGCAGCTGCGCCTGTTAGTGGCAGTCTGCATGTAATTGTTTATGTTTCCAGGGACAGGCCTCTATCCAGAACCACAAATCATTCCAATTACATGCAGACTGCTGCTGACAGATGCATAGGTTTTTGTCGCAGGAATCCTTAGCCGACACGTGTAAATGTAGCCTAGGAGCTTGTTCACGACAAATCCGGACCAGATCTGCATGAGTTTCTGCATATGCAATGCAGTGTGTTTTGACGCGGTCTGGTCTGTTTTTTTTTTTTTGCCTAAAAAAGGCTTTCAGGTGTAGTCCAGTGTGTTCCAGGGCCCTTGCACGTGTTTTTGATGCATTTGAATGCGTTTTGGTGTGTTCCAGAGCAGAAGAAATAGGGCATGCTGCAGTTTTTCCACATGCTCTGGAACTGTGGTGTGAACTAGAGCCCAAAATACTATTGGCTGCATTTTTGATGCATTCTCTAACTGCTATGCTCTGATCTCCTCCGCACTTGGTGTGAACAAGCCTTTAGAGTATTAATGCATTTAAATTGATGCATAGTTACAAATGTGTTTTTGTGAGTTCTCAATTTACTCTAAAGTTTTTGTAGGCAAAATGATCTGCTTTTTACATTGAATCAATGTGAATTTAATATTCACTCTAGTGCTTTATATTCTAGTCCAGGGGTAGGCAACCTCAGCGCTCCAGCTGTGATAAAATCCCATCATGCTTCTACCTCTAGAAGTCATGCCTGTGGCTTTCAGTCTTGCAATGCCTCATGGGACTTGTAGTTTCATGACAGCTGGAGTCCCAAGGTTGCCCACCCTTGATCTACTCTCTGCAAACATGTATGGATGACGTTAAAATTTGATAGACATGAAAATAGTTTGAATAGGTATCATTCTGTTTCAAGACTATTCATCCCTGGGACACTCAGAATGCCAAAATTCTTACCTACGTCTTCTTGCACAGTTGTGTGAACTGGAGAGAAGCAACTGTAATATATATATATATATTTGTGTAGGGCAAATATCTTTCAAAGTTACATAGTTGATCAGGTTGAAAATGAACACAAGTCCATCAAGTTCAACCATTTCAGGTGATTTCTTTCCTGTTTTGTGTTGTGTTTTTGTTAGCTTATTGCAGGTGATGATGATACATTCTTTTGTGAAGACTTTAAGGATATATCTAATTTTACAACACCTATGTTCTCTCTTTGTAGTGAAAATTGAAGTGAAAGGTCCATATGAATACCTGTCACTGGCTGATTACCCTCGCATGATTGTAAGTATTGCACATGTGCTATTTGACGTATCTGTGCAGTATTGCATATATCATTGCACATATTTATTGATAAACATTGCAGTCACTTTTATACAAATATATGCTTCCATCTGTTTACTGCAATAGAAGTGTACCCTGGAAATTAGGGATGTTCAGATACCAGTGCCAATACTGGCGTTTTCACGAGCTACGTGTTTCCCCGAAAATAAGACACTGTCTTATATTTTTTTTGGCTCAAAAAAACACACCAAGTCTTATTTTTAGGGTAGGTCTTTTTTTTTTTAATGTACAACAATCCACACTTATTCATGTACAACAGTCTGCTTTTTTTTCCATGTACAAAAATATGGTGATCAGGGCAATCGGGTGCCGTACCTTTCCAAGAGCAATTTGCTAACCAATCGCTGGCCAGAATGAGCGAAGCGCGCTTTCACTATGGATTCCTCACAGACGGAGTGCATTTGGTATCACTCCGTCTGTGACAGGAGCCGATGCTATAGAAGGGGCATCGGCTTATGCGGCTCTGCTCCCTCCTCTAACGCTTCGCTTCCTCTAGCACTGGCTTTGTTGGCACCGCTGATCCTCTCCTGCCTTTCCCGTGGCTCTCCAAGTTCCCCCTTATGCCACCACCGGCCCTGGGAATGGTCACAACTAGGTCTTATTTTCGGGATAGGTCTTATATTTTAGCAATTCCCAAAAATAGTACTAGGTCTTATTTTTGGGGTAGGTCTTATTTTCGAGGAAACTGAGTACCAGGGTTGCAGAGGTTGCAGCTGGGACCTGGCTCTGGCGCTCCACCACTCTCCTGAAATCATTAGTCTGTATTGTTTTAGAAAAACTGTCAAATGACACTAAACGAATATGTATTGGTACTTGTATCTGAGTACTTGGACAAGTATCAGTACTTGTACTTGGAAAAATTGTATTGGTGCATTATATATATATATATATATACAAATCATACATTAAAATACATGTACTTGTACCGAGTACGGTACTTGGTATCTGAACATCCCTACTGGAAATGTATAGCAAGTCTAGAGACTTACACATGGATGTCTTTTTGTTTTGGCAAACAGATGAAATATTGCATGTGTTAAACAGATTGTTTTGCCTTACTTCCTACAAAAGTTAATTGTGCATTCTTCACGTCTTGTAATGTTCTTTTCTATTGCAGTTTTTCATGGTGATGTGCATTGTGTATGTTTTATTTGGAGTCCTGTGGCTGTCCTGGTCAGCTTGTTACTGGAGGGACCTGCTGCGGATCCAGTTCTGGGTGGGAGCTGTGATCTTGCTAGGGATGCTGGAGAAAGCTGTATTCTATGCCGAGTTCCAGAACATCCGCTACCATGGAGAATCAGGTACTGTGCAATGCAGCACATTAAACACATGTATTTGACATTTTTACTGTAGCAGAGTTAGAATTTGATTTTCTTGCTGTTAAAAGATATCCACAGACTTCAAAATGAACCTCTACATTTATAGTTGGATTGTCAGAAACCAAGTA